CTCTGCCTAAGCAGGCACTTTAGTCCACTGACCTATCAGGCCAACGCTGCAAGATCTTTTTAGAACATAGAGCATGCATACTGAAAAAACTCAGTTGCTAATCAGAAATGCTGACTGGTTTCATTTTTTTTTTTGTATAGCTTTAATTTTGAAATAATTATAGATCCACAGGAAGTTGCATATCTGAGTATAAAATCAAAACCATACCATGTGCGAAGCCCTGGGTTGGAATCATCAGCACCACAAGCAAGCCAGAAAACTGAACCAGACACAGAGACACATGCCTATAATCCCAGCTACCTCAGAGACAAAGGCAGGAGGATCAAGAGTTCAAGAACAGCCTGGGTTACAGAGCAAATTCAAGGCTGGAGTGTACTACATACTCCACCTTTTTTTTTTTTTTTGTGGTACCAGGGATTGAACTTAGGACCTTGCACTTGCCAGGAAGGCATTTACACTGCTGAGCTATATCCCTGGCCCTTGATGTGTACTACAGAGTTAGATGCTGTTTCAAACCTTCACCTGCAAAAATCAACATTGGTGCAACCCATAGGCCTTATTCAGATTTCATTAGTTTTTTATTTTTTCTTTTTGAGGCAGAGTCTCACTATGCAGTTCAGTCTGACCTTGAACTCACTTTGTAGCCCAGACTGGCCTTGACCTCATGGCCTCAGCCTCCTGAGTGCTGGGATTACAAAGGTGTGCCACCATGTTCATCAGTTTTATATACATTTATTTATATGTATATGTGTTTCACATATATCTTGCACCATATTAAGACACTTAACTCACCAGGAATGGTGGTACACATCTGTAATCCTAGCACTCTGGGAAACTGAGGCAAGAGATTAAATTCAAATTCAGCATGGGCAATTTAGCAAAAGCCTGTGTCAAAATTGGAATGGGGAGGAAGGAGCTGGTGGTGTAGCTCAGTGTGAAGAGTTTGAGTTAAATTGCAGCGCTACAAAAGATAACTTCCCACCACCAGAAGGGTTCCCACATTGTGCCTTTGCAGCCACATTCCTGTCCCCCTCAAGCTTTTCTCTTTCTGGCATTATGTGATTCAGTGACTTTACATAAATGTGATTGTGTGCTATAGCTCCTTTTGAGAGTGGCTTTTTTTAAAAGTAGAAAAATGTATTGGGAAAAGGAATGGGGAATGGGAATAGTGACTGTTATGGGGTTTATTCTTTTTTTTTTTCTTTGGGGATTGAACTCAGATCCTTGTGTTTGCCAGTCAAGAGCCTATCCTACTGAGCCATCTCCCCGGCCCCTTATTCTTTTAAAATATATTTAGTACAGGATCTACAGGGTCTCACTACACAGATCGGACTTGTAGCGATCCTTCCTGGGATTACAGGCACACACTGTCTCAGTGTGCGCCCATGGTAGGGCCAGCATGGCAGGTCAGGGATCAAACCCCGGCTGCTGTGCTCTGCCTAAGCAGGCACTTTATTTATTTATTTTTAAATTTTATTCATTTATTTATGTGTGTGTGTGTGTGTGTGTGTGTGTGTGGCCAGCTCAGCCCACCAGGGGGCGGGGCTGGCTGGCATGTGGTGCTGGGGGATTGAACCGCGGTCCCTGTGCTCTGCCAAGCTTGTTCTAAGTAGGTGCTTTAGACCACTGAGCCATCTCACCAGCCCTAAGCAGGCACTTTAATCTGCTGAGCTATCTGGCTGGCCCCATGGTTTGTGTCTAGTTGTCCCCCAAAGCCTCATGCAATCATGGGTGGCTTCTGGAGTTTGTGATTGATGATTGTTGGTGTGGGTGCTGTACCTGCCCTGGGGCAGGTAATCTGCATTACAATGTGAGGAAGGGGGAGAAAGGCTGGTTGGCTGCCTGAGCTGCTGCCCCTCCCTTTGCTCTCTGCTCTTTGCTGCCACCATGAACAGCTGCCCTCTGCCATGAGCCGCTTTGCCTTGGAGCCAGCTGAGCATGGACTGAAACCTCCACAAACTGTAAGCTGAATAAACCTTTGTTTCCTTCATTTTGGGTGTCAGGTGTTTTGTCCCAGCAACAAGAGAAGAGTAACGACACAGCACCTAAATGGGGAGGGGTCCAAGTGAGTTGCCTGTGAACTTGCCTTTTTCCTATTCTGCATAATTTCCTGGAGATATGTCCATACTTTTTGTGTGTGTGTGTGTGTGTGTGTGTGTGTGTGTGTGTGTGTGGCACTGGGGATTGAACTTGCTTGCCAAACAAGCACTTATTCTACTGAGCTATGTCCCCGGCCCTGTCCATACTTTTCATGTATCAAGTGGTTCATTTCTTTTTACTGCATGGTATGGACATGCCGAGTTTGTTTAACCATTCATCCGCTGAATGGCACTTAGATCACTTCCAGTCTTTGACTAGTATAGATAACAGGCTGGGTGAGGTAGCACACACCTGTAAACCCAACACTCTGGGAGGCGGAGGCAGGAAGGGTGCAATGACAAGGGGAGCTTGGGCAACTTGGAGACTTGGAGATACTCTATCTCAAAATAAAAAAATAAAAAGGGGGCTTGAGGAGGTAGCTCAGTGCAAAGTCCCTGGGTTCAGTCCCTGACATCAGCACATACATGTGCTTACACACACACACACACACACACACACACACACACACACTGTTAGGAATGTTCATGCAGAAGTTTCTATGTGAAAATAAGTTTTCATGATGTCTCTGGGCTACATGCCCCAAAATGCACGTGCTGGGTCATATGGTAAGTCCATTTTTAGTTCTAAAAGGAACTGCCGAGCTATTTTTCCAGGGTGGCTATATCATTTTACATTCCGACCAGCAATGTGTGAGTGATCCAGTTTCTTTGCATCCTCTCCAGCATTTGGCGTTGTCACTATTTTTTATTTTTGCCATTCTGATAGGTGGGTGGTGATACCTCATTGTGATTTTAGGTTACATTTTTCTAATGATTTTAAACATCTATTCACATGCATATTTGCCATCTGTGTATCCTCTTCAGTGAAATACCTATTCATCTTGTTCATGTTTTGCCTCTTTTTTCTTTTCTTTTTCTTTCTTTCTTTTTGCGGTACAGGTGGATTGAACTCAGGACCTTGCGCTTGCCAGGCAAGCACTTATTCTACTGAGCTATCTCCCCGGCCCTTCCTTCCTTTCTTTCTTTCTTTCTTTCTTTCTTTCTTTCTTTCTTTCTTTCTTTCTTTCTTTCTTTCTTCTTTCTTTTCTTTCCTTTCTTTCGGTGGTACTGGGGGTGGAACTGAAGTACATACCTAGCTTTTTTCTTTTTGTAGACCAAGATCTTACTAAATTGCCCAAGCTGGGCTTAAACTTGTGATCCTCCTGCTGCAGCCTCTCAGTGGGCTGGGATTACAGGCAGGTGCTACCACATCTGGCTGAGGATTGTAGATATTAGTCTTTTGCCTCTTAAGTCATGTGTGAATATTTTCTCCCAATTTTTTGTCCTTTCACCCTTCTAAAAGGGTCTTTGGAGAGCAAAGGTTTAAATTCTGATGTGGTTTCATTTTATAGTTAAAACCAACCAACCAACCAACCAACCAACCAACCAACCAACCAGCAAGCACTCTGCCGGCCTGGCCCCACCAGATGGAGGGCAGGGACATATTCCAGCCATCTTCCCAGTCTCTCCCCCTTTACCCACATACTCAGTCAGTGTTTATGGACACCTGTTCCATTCTGGGCTCAGTATCAGGACAGTTGAAAACAAATAAAACACAGCCTTCCTTCAGCATGTGCAGTCTCTTGGGGACAGGAGCACATGTGCACATGGGAAAAGAGGCAAAGGTGGCTATGGGAGCCCTGCATGCAGCCAGCCCCTGGCTTGCCAGAGAGGGCTCCTTTTTGGTCCCTCTTGAGCCAGTTACAATTCCCTCATCATTCCAGGTGGACACAGGCCATAATGTATCTTATGGGTTATATTTTAAGTCAGTATTTTAAGTTTTTTTTCTTTTCTTTCTTTCTTTTTTTCTTTTTTTTTTTTTTTAGAACCAGGGATTGAACTCAGGCCCTTGTGCTGGCCAGGGAAGCACTTATTGCACTGAGCCATCTCCCTGGCTCCCATAATGTATTCTAAGAGATGGGGCATTTTGTTGTTGTTTTATTTTGAGTTGTATAAGTGTGTATGTTCTACAGAAACATTTCATCCATTCTCTTAATCATAATTACCACTGGTTCATTTTCTAAGAGTTCTTTTTTCCCTCCACATCCTAAAATAGTTAACATGGAAACAAAAATCCTATGAGATTCCCTCCCAGAAATGATCAGTTTTCAAAAATACAATGACACCTGTTAGTCCAACAGGTGGTCTTCTCGGTAAAGCACTGGCATCAGGGGACACATGTTGTATAACTGTCCTTGATCCCAATATAGCAGTCTCATCCAGGCAGCTGAGCCTTGCCTCACATGACAGGCTGCCTGTTTTTCACACTGACTCCTCAAAGAAGGTGAGAGGGACTTACCATGGAGTGGCCTGTATCCCACATAGAGTATGATGTGCCCTGTTCAGGCAACTGGAAAAGGACGGCCAGTGATAAACTTAGGAAGAACTCAGAAATCTGTGAGAATCGAGACTGAACCTTTCGGGCCTATGAGATAGCTCAGCAGACTAAAGTGCTTGGTTAGGCAGACACAGGGACTGGGGTTCGATTCCAGGCATGAGGTGTTCGCCCCGCCCCCCTGGGGTGCGATGAGACTGCAATGGAGACTGGGTGTGGTGGTGCATGCCTGTAATCCCAGCACTTGGGAGGCTGAAAGCAGGAGGATCACTATGAGTCCGATCTACATAGTGAGACCCTGTAGACCTTGTCCAAGATACAGAAGAAAGAAAGAAAGAAAGAAAGAAAGAAAGAAAGAAAGAAAGAAAGAAAGAAAGAAAGAAAGAAAGAACTTAGGCAAGTTTAGGCAGGCACAGGGACCGTGGTTTGATCCCCAGCACCACATGCTGCACCACCCTCAGGGTGGGCTGATCTGAAAAAAAAAAAAAAAAGACCGAATCTTTCATTTAAATTACAATTCTCTTTCAATGATTTTTTGAGCACATAAGGCCTGACTGTGACATATACAACACATTCAGGGCTGGGGTAGAGCTCTATGGTAGACCACTTGCCTCACATGGGCAAAGCTCTGGGTTTCCATCTTCATCACTGAAAAACAAAACAAAAAAAACCTTGATTAAGATTTTGTTTTTATAATTTTCAGCTTCACACCTGAGAATACATTTTTTTTATTTTTTTGGCTTTTTGAAACAGTGTCACATAATATAGTTCAGACTAGCTTTGAACTCACTACATAGCCCGGGTTGGCTTTGAACTCACAGCTATCCTCCTGCCTCAGCCTCCCGAGTGCTGGGATCACAGATGTTCACCACCACAACTGGCTTAGTTTTGAAGTCTTTCACTCAACAGCTTTCTTAGATGCTGAGGTACAAATTATCCCCTCATATGCCATCTTAGTCTTTTTTCTGTTGCTATAACTATCTGAAACCAGGTAACTTACAAAGACCAGAAGTGTATTTGGCTCACAGTTCTGGAGGCTAGGAAGTCCAACAGTATGGTGTTGGCATGTGCTCAGAGAACCTGGCGAGCGCTTTGTTTCTTTTTCTTTCTTTCTTTCTTTTTTTTTTTTGCAGAACCGGGAATTGAACTCAGGCCCTTGTGCTTGCCAGGGAAACACTTATTCTGCTGAGCCATCTCCCTGGCCCGGGCCTTGCTTGTTGCTATGTCGTTACATGCAGAGGCATCGCCTAGTGAGACAGAGGAGCGGGTAGCTCCAGCCTCTCTTCCTCTACTTATAAAGCCACTAATGCCATGATGGGGGCTCCACCCTTGTGACCTTATCTCATCCAATTAACTCCTAGAGGCCCTGCCTTCCAAAGCCAAACATGAATCTGGGAATTCACTTTCCAACGCATGGACACCATCACACCCCAGTACTATTCATCTCCAGACTATCAAAATCATGAAGAGAGACATGCATGTTCGAAGTCAATGTTGGGTCATACAGAATAATCCACATTTGTCCTCTTCAAGGTCAAATTATGTGAAAGGAAATGTGATAGATTCAAAACCATTCCAGACAGGAAAGAGTAGGTGGCAGCTGGAGAACTGCTCAGGATTTTTCCTTTCACAGAACAATTTTTGGGGAAGAAATAGCAGTGCTGATTCTTTCTATTTTCAGAACAAAGTAACACTTAACTAATTTAATTATTATTCAAGTAAAGGTGTATGGCCGCAAACCATCATTTATTCTGGAAGTACTGCAAAACCACAAATTCGCCTGCAAATGGGTGGTCTGCTCACACAATGGAAGCCACATAAAGTGTTTACAGATTTTCCCCTTAATTTTGAATCCATATAAAAGGATATTTACAATGTTTCTATAAGGTAAGAAAAATACAGGAAAAAGAAACACTCATATGTTCAATTCAGCTTGAAAAATAAGACCGCAACAATTGATAGGCATGGTGGTGCATTCCTTGTAATCTCAGCACTTGAGGGAGGCTGAGGCAGGAGGATCCCTGTGAGTTTGAGCCCAACCTGGGTAACTTAGTGACTTAAGGAGACCCTGTCTTGAAATAAAAATTTATAATGGGCTGAGGATGTAGCTCAGTGCAAAGGTCCTGGGTTCAATTCTCAGTTCCAAAAAGTAAACCCACCACAGTTCTGCTGTTCCACAGCACAGAGAGGTGAGTGTTGGGCAAATAACCTATTGTATCATATTTTATGACCATTGGAAGAAGTGAAACAGGAGGAAGAAGAAAGGGGGAGAGGAAGAAGGAAGGAGGAGGAGGAAGAGGAGGAGACGCCACTTCAAGGAGGCAGAGGACTTGCCAAGTCACTGGGGCCTGGGGCCTGGCCGCTCAGGGTATGGTGACTCCCATTCCACTGCACGCTAACTGTGTGGGCCGTGTGTCCTGAGTCTCCTGTCTACATGGTCTGGGAAACATTTTTTCCTCACAGGTGGGCCTTGGGCATTAGATAAGCTAAGCATCTGTGTAATTTGCTAGGGACAGTGCAGGCACACTGCGAGCCAACGCTTGAAAATGCCATCTTCCCACACAGACTAAAGAAGGCCTCTGCATACCATCCCTCCTGACTCCACAGTCCGAGAGCCATCACGCACGCTATGTGACGTACCAATTGCAGGCTGTCTGTAAATACAATATAAGTTCATGCTGCATCTTCCCTGTTTTCTGACTTGTAACATCAGGATGGTCAGTGAAGAGGGAGAATTTGTAGAATGCCCAGGGCTCTACGTAAGCACACAATTCTGTTTCCTTCTTTTTTCTTTTTCTTTTCTTTTTTCTTTCTTTCTTTTTTTTTCTTTTTTTGTGGTACCAGGGATTGAACTCAGGCCCTTGCGCTTGCCAGGCAAGCGCTTATTCTACTGAGCCATCTCCCCGGCCCCTAGATTTTAATATTTTAATTTGTGTGGTACTGGGGATCACACACAAGTCCCTCTGCCTCTGAACTACATCCCTAGCCCCTTTTATTTCAGGACAGGATCTCATTAAGTTGTCCAGCCTGGGTTTGAATCAGTGATCCTCTGGCCTCAGCCTCCAACAGCATTGGCATTACAGGTGTGCCCCACCACATCCTCAAAGGGTCTCTTTTTCTTTTGAGACAGGATTTTGCTCACTTTGTAGCCCTGGCTGGTCTGAACTCAAAGCAATCTTCCTGCCTCAGCTTCCTAAGTGCTGGGATTGTAGGCTTGTGCTACCACGCTTGGCTTCCATACTCAGCTTTGACTTTTAATTCTTCAAAGGCACTCTTTCTTTCTTTCTTTCTTTCTTTCTTTCTTTCTTTCTTTCTTTCTTTCTTTCTTTCTTTCTTTCTTCCTTCCTTCCTTCCTTCCTTCTTTCCTTCCTTCCTTCCTTCCTTCCTTTCTTTCTTTCTTTCTTTCTTTCTTTCTTTCTGGAACCAGGGATTGAAAGCAGACCCTTGTGCTTGCAAGGGAAGCACTTATTCTATTGAGCCATCTCCCCGGCCCCAGTACTTCTCACTCTTTAAAGAACTTTGAGCAGGGCGTGATGGTACACCCCTGTAATCCCAGCACTCAGGAGGCTGAGGCAGGAGGATCAACATCAGTTCAAGGCCAGCCTGGGCTACAAAGTGAGCTCAAGACCAGCCAAAATGCATAGCTAGACCCTGTTGAGACAAAAAAGACAAAAAAAGAAAAGGTTTTTATGACAAACTAACATCCAGCATCATATTAAATGGGGAAAAACTAAAGCATTCCCCCTGAAGTCAGGAAGAAGACAAAGATTTCTATTCTCACCTCTTCTATTAGACATAGCACTTGAAATATTAGCCAGAATAATCAGGCAAGAGAAATAAATAATTATTCTTGCAATGGGGCCAGGGATTTAGCTCAGTAGTGCAGCACTTGCCTTGCAATCAAGAGGTCCCGATTTTGATTCTTGGTTCCCACATACACAAAAAAAATTATTCAGACTGGGCATGGTGGTCCGTGCCTGTAATCCCAGTTCTTGGGAGGCTGTAAACAGGTGGATCACTATGAGTCGGATCTAGTACTGAGACCCTGAACACCCTGTAGACCCTTCCCTAAAATAAAATGAAAAAAATTATTCTTGTTTTGTTCTTTTTGAGACAGGATTTTGCTATGCAGTTCAGGCTGGCCTTGAACTCACTTTGGAGCTGAGGCTGGCCTCAAACTAATAGTGATCCTCTTGCTTCAGTCTCCTGAGTGCTGGGATTACAGGAGTGTACCACCATGCCCTCGAGACTCTTAGAATTGATAACCAAGTTTAGCAACATAGCAGGATATAAGATCAACCTACAAAAAATCATTAGCATTTGTGAACATGAGTAATTAATTTGATGAGAAGGAAATTATGGGGGCTGGCCAGAAAGCTTAGCAGACTAAAGCGCCTGCTCAGGCAGGTGCAGGGACCAGGATTCATCCCTAGCTTGTCGTGCTGGGCCCTGCCCACAGGGTGCATGGAGGTGAGACTAAGACTGGGTGTGGTGGTGCACTATGAGTCTGATCTGTGTAGTGAGCGCTGTAGACCTTGTAGTAAATACATAAATAAATAAAAAAGAAGGAAATTGTGAAAACAATACCATTCTTAGTAGCTTTAGCAAAATCAAATACACAGGAACTAACCTAACCCGGGAAGTGAAGGACCTCTACAAAAAAACCAAACAACAACAACAACAACAACAAAAAAAAACTATAGTATTGTGCAAAAGGAGATTCAGGAGGACTTCAGAAATGGAAAGATATCCCTTACTCCTGGATAGAAAGAATTATTGTCAAAATGTCCATACTGCCAAAACTGTTATGCAGCTTCAATGCAGTCCTAATCAAAACACAGTGTATGTCACAGAACTAGAGAAAAGAATCCTAAAATTTACATGGAACCAGAATAGCAAAAGTAATTTTGGTCCAGGAGAACAAAGCAGGAGGCCTTCCATATCTAACCTGAAGCTCCACTTCAAGGCAACAGTGATGAGAATGGCATGGTACTGGGACAAGAAGCAGATATGTGAATCAATGGGACAGAACAGAGGCTACAGAAACTCCCCAGACACATTCAGCTATGTGATGGTTGACAAAGGGGCCGAAAGCATGCGTTAGAGGAAAGTTAGGCTATTCAATAAGTGGTGCTGGGAAAATTGGTTATCTGTGTGCAGAAGATTGAAACTGTACCCATGTCTGTCACCATATACTAAACTAAACTCAAAATGGATCTAAGATCTAAACATTTTTTTATTTTTACTTTTTGGTGGAACTGGGGATTGAACTCAGGCCCTTACGCTTGCCATGGAAACACTTATTCCACTGAGCCATCTCCCCGGCCCTTGTTTTCCTTTTTGAGAGTCTTGCTAAGTAGTTCAGACTGGCCTTGAGCTCACTTTGTAGCTCAGGGCATGGTGGCACACGCTTGTAATCCCAACACTCTGGAGGTTGAGGCAGGAGGATCACTGCGAGTTTGGGACCAGCCTGGCTACATAAGTGAGTTCAAGACCAGGCTGTGTTACACAGTGAGACTCTGTTTCAAAGAAAAAAAGAAATCAAAAAGAAATGCTAGCTAGTGAAGCTGTGGAAAAAAAAGAACCCTCCTACACTGCTGATGAGAACGTAAACTAGTACAACCATTATGGAAATCATTATGGAGATTTCTTCAAGCACTGAAATTAGACATTCCATATGACCCAGCTATCCCCTTTCTAGGTATCTTCCCCCAAGAGTTTCATTCATCATTCTACAGTGACACACGCATAGCAACGTTTATAGCAGCACCATTTGCAATAGCTAAATCCCTGAAGCAGCTCGTATAGCCATCTACAGATGACTGGATAAACAAAATATATCGATATACAACGGCATACTACTCATCTATAAAAAAGGACAAAACGGAGACATTTATAGGAAAATGGATGCACGTAGAAAGTGAAGTGTTGAATGAAATAAACCAGGCACACAAATTTAAATACCATATGGTATCTCATCTGAGTAAGGCAAAGTACAAACTAAGAGAAAAATAAATGAAGGCTAGAGCCAAGACAAGGGGGTGGATCTCTTGCAAATTGGGTCCAAGGAACCAAGGGTAAGGGAAGAGAAAATAGGTAAAGATATGCTAGGTATGAGATCCTAACACCATCGAAGAACCTGGACACAGTACGCCATAAGCATGAACGAAAGTAAACAATATAAACAAGAATAAAATCATGGACAGAAACTGGGGATGTAGTTCAGTGGCACAGTGCCTTCCTGGCAAGCTTCAGGCCCTGAGTTCGAGTCCTGGTGCCTCTCCCCCCCCCCAAAACCCCCACCAAAATGGAAAGGAGAACTAGAGGAGGAGAGAGGGAGGGAGAAGAGAAGAAGAGTTAAAAAGGAATAAACTGTGTCATGTATATGTACCAGCTCCCCAAGAAGATTGTACAAAGCATGCACAGCAAACTTATTTATTTATTTATTTATTTATTTATTTATTTGTATTTAGAACAGGTTCTACAGGGTCTGCACAGATCGGACTCCTAGTGATCCTCCTGTTTTCAGTCTCCCAAGCGCTGGGATTACAGGCATGTACCACCACGCCCAATCTCAATCCCTGTCTCAGCATGCCCCGGGGAGGCACTGGTGGCACAGTAGGCACAGGTGGCACAGTATGCCGGGGATCAAACCCTGTCCCTGCACCTGCCTAAGCAGGCACTTTAGTACACTGAGCTGTGTGCCTGGCCCACAAACTTTATGTTAAAAAATAAAATTAAAAAAAATTTATTTTAAAAATAAAAGTTAAAAAAAAAAACTCACCCAGGTGTGGTGGTGCACACCTATCATCCCAGCATTTGGGAGGCTAAGGCAGGAGGATCCTTGTGAATTCGAGGCTAGCCTGGGCTACAAAGTGAGTTCAATGCCAGCCTGAACTGCATAGGGAAACCTCATCTCAAAAAGACAAAAACAGAACAAAACAAAACCCACCAACAGTGCCCCTCCAAACAAAACAAAACACAACATTCAGGTCTGGCCTGATAGCTTAGCAGACTAAAGCGCCTTAGGCAGATGCAGGGACTGGTATGATCCCATGATCCCTGGCCTGCTGTGCCAGCCCAGTCCCTGGGACATGCTGAGACCATGATTGAGACCGGGTGTGGCGGTGTGTACCTGTAATCCCAGCACTTGGGAGGCTGAAAACAGGAGGATCACTATGAATCTGATGGTCGCCATACTGAGACCCTGTACTAAATACATAAAAATAAAACATATCTTTTTTTTTTCTGGAACCGGGAATTGAACTCAGGCCCTTGAGCTTGCCAGGCAAGCACTTATTCTGCTGAGCTATCTCCCTGGCCCCCAATAAAAAGAAAATAAAACAAACAAAAAAACCCCCACAACTTTCAAAGTGACTATGGAGTGGCCAGTAATAACTGCTAAGAAGGATGTGTAGGGGAGAGTGAAGCAGCTCAGCACCACTGAAACTCAGGTGCCCCCAGGGACTAGAGCCAGGCTTCAAGTCCTATGTCACGTGAAGAGGTCTGCTACAAAGGGCTCCTTACCTAGGAGGCTACAGGGCTTCTGGGGCACAGAAGCCTCTAGTTCTATTTCCTTTTTTTTTTTTTTTTTGGTATTTTTTAGGGAAGGGTCTACAGTGTGCTCAGGGTCTGACTACTAAATCAGTGATCCACCAGTTTACAGCCTCCCAAGAGCTGGGATTACAGGCACATGCCACCATGCCCAGTCTCAACTGCCAGTCAATGAGCACTCTTGGGCCGGGGAGATGGCTCAGTGGAATAAGCGCTTCCCTGGCAAGCACAAGGCCTGAGTTCAATCCCTGGTTCCACCAAAAAAAAAAAAGGAGCACCCTGGAGGTGTGGCCAGCATGGCAGGCCTCAGAATCAAACCCCAGCCCCTGTGCCTGCTTGCAGATGCTTTAATCCGCTGCACTATTTGGCTGGCCCAGCTGTATTTCTGAGACTCTCCAATCCCTCAGTTCCCTCCATTCGGAGACTCCTTGGAAGGCTTCCCCATTATCATCCATTGACCTCCCAGTCAATGGATTGACTTTGCGGGAGTGAAGGTGGATGTGCACTGAGTGTTTGCGGGAGTGAAGGTGGATGTGCACTGAGTGTTTGAAAAGATTTTTCTTGGTTTTAGTGACTGAGGGGACTTCTTTTAATGTAATTTTGTTATTTATTTATTTATTTATTATTATTATTTTTGCAGAACCAGGAATTGAATTCAGGCCCTTGCGCTTGCCAGAGAAGCACTTATTCCACTGAGCCATCTCCCTGGCTCCTCTCTTAATGTAATTTTGATTTGGTCTTGCCATCTTTATTACTATTATTATTTACTCATTTATTTGCAATCTTTACAGAAGGAATGCGGATGCTAGATCTTGCTGGTTTAGGAACTGCTGAAAGCGTTCCTGGCTTTGTTTTCACCAGCCCTCAGCCTCAGAGGAGAAGGGTGCCCAGCACTGCACCAGTGATTAAGGTTGCTTTTCCCCAATTTGAGCTTCTGTCAGTCTGCCTAGGAATCTTCTCCTGAGTATGTCTGGTAACTTGACTGGCCCTGGTAGCGAATATACTTAATCTGAAGCAATGAACAAACACCCAAAAGCCTGTTACATTTTAGAACATAAAAGGAGGCTCAGTAGGGAACTGCTTTTACCTCCATACCTATAATTATGGCCCTGATTACAGGGAGATTTGTCCTCTTTGAACTTTATTCCCAATCCATGCTAAAGGGAAGTGTGGCTCAGATGAGCTCAAAAGGCCTTCCTTTGGATTTTGAGAAAAATGACTGGCAATTATGAAGTTCATTAAGGGCTCTCCCATGTCTATCTCTTGGAATCCTTTTATTACTTCTGATCTTCTGCTTGAAGAGCCAAATTAAACTGAGCCTGTGGCACATCCCTGCATTCCAGGGGCTGAGGCAAGAGGATTGTGAGTTTCAGCCCAGCCCGGGCAACTCAGTGATTTAGTCAGGCTCTGTTTCAAAATAAGAAAGAAGCCTGGTGTTCTGGTACATGCTTCTAAGTGGGTGTTCCTCCCACTTGGGAGGCCGACACAGGAAGTTCTCTGAGAGGTTCAAGCTGGCTCGGGCTACATAGCGAATTCAAGGTCAGCCTGGACTACAGAGTGAGACTGTCTCAAAACAAAAACAAACAAAAAAAAACCCAGGAAAAAAAGGGACTGTTGCACAGTGTGAAGAAGCCCTAGGTTCAAACCCCAGTACCTGGGTGTGTGAGGGGGAGGAACACAACCCAAAAAGAAGACAGGTGTGGTGGCACATGCCTGTAATGCCAGCACTTTTTTTTTTTGTGGAACAAGGATTGAACTCAGACCCTTGCACTTGCCAGGGAAGTGCTTATTCTATTGAGCCATCTCCCTGGCCCAATACCAGCACTATGGAGGCTGAGGCAGGAGGACTGCTGTGACCTCAAGGCCAGCCTGAACTACAGAATGAGACCCTGTTTCAAAAAGACAAAAAAGGGCTGGTGAGATGGCTCAGTGGTCTAAAGCACCTACTTAGAATAAGCTTAGCAAAGCACAGGGACCGCGGTTCAATCCCCCAGCACCACGTGCCAGCCAACTCCACCCGCAGGTGGGCTGAGCTGGCCACACACACACACACACACACACACACACATAAATAAATAATTAATTAAAAAAAGTAAAAGTATCGTTGTGCTATGTTTTAGGTTACTTGGGCTTCTATTTATGTGCACTGCCATAATGTGATTTTGGTCTAGCTCCTCTCAGGAAATGGTGAGATCAGTAGTGGTAAGACCATCTGTGGAAACAAAATAATGGATGTACATCCCTCACCATGCCTTGTACTATGCCTTGCTCACTACAGGCATTTATATCATGCACCAGTCAACACCTTTTGGGCATCTGCATTTTCCACACAGAATAGCGGTGGCACACAGTGCTACAGTGGAGTTTTTGTTTCTGAGATAGGGCCTTGCTAAGTAGCCCAGGCTGGTCTCAAAAACTCGAAGTGATCCTCCTGCCTCAGCCTCCTAAGTGCTGGGCTGAAGATGGGCACCACTATGCCAGGCTATAGTGAAGGTTTGAACTGGGAGCGCTGTAGGAGCTCAGGGCTCGAGCAACCCATCCTGCTGGGGGCGTGGAGGTCACAGGGAGCTACACACACAGAGAGAGCTGTCCCAGCACCACTTACCTTTGCCAAACATTTTCCTGAGTGAGGCCTTCAATCCCAACCACCATCGGAGGCAGCAACCACCTCTGTCCCACCGCTATGGAGGACTCTGAGTTGCTGACATGTCCGCAGACTTAAGTGCTTGCAAACAGGGTGGGGAGTGGGGATTTAGTGCAGATGGGGTATTTACCTCAACACAGACACTTCAAAGGCCTGGAAAAGCAGAAAAAGGGGTCTTAAAGTGTCTGGTTTCAGTAATTTCTACCCTTTTTGTATCATTTCCAATAGAAGGTTGCGAAGGATTGCCATGTGGAAAAGACACATAAGTGCTTAATGGAAAAGTCATTTGGAATGCAGCGAAATTTGGTACAACTGGAGGCCTCCAACATGCACAGTATTTTTCAGAATGAATGTATTTGAAGACAAAGCTTTGCGTGTTTCCCTGCTTCCTCACCACCTGATATTCCCATTATAACATGTTGATTAACAAAACACCCTGGTGGTCTGAACTGAATATACCTATGAGCAAGGGTTAATTGAAAACAGGAAATTGCTGTATTTTAACTTTTAAAGATATTCTCATTGCAGTCAGTACCCTGGATACTGACTTTACCCAAAAGTAAAACAAAGCCCAGAACCAGGGCAGACTAATATTTACCTGGTCTCTTGGAAAAGGAAACTGAAGCAAGCCCAAGAACATAGCTCAGGGGGCCTGCCCCTTAGCTCAGCTCTTTAAGTGGCTGCTTCCACAAAGCAGTCAGGCTCAGGTTGCTGTGGTTCGATCCCCACAACTCTAGCCAGCCAAACCTGCCCTGGAGGCATTCGGAGCATTAAAAAAAAAAAAAAAAGAACATTCCTCACCAGTGCTCCTCACAGGGCCAGGAAGGGACCCTAGGATTCCTTAAGCCCAGTGGTTCTCAAAGGACCTTGTGGAAATCTGTGCATTTGGTAGTCACAATGACTACTTAGGGCTCCCAGCATTTAGGTGGCAGATGCCAGCTGTGTTACATTTTCGGCTATGCCGTCTGTCCTCATACAACAAAGAACCTATTCACTGGACGCTCCTGTAACTGTAACACTAGGGCATCATCATCTAAGCCTAAAACTGTATTACCTATAAACAGTGTGTTTGTTTTCACATTATATTTTAACACAAGTATTTTTGCCCCATTTCCACATACTTATCGTTCATGAACGCAACTATGGTATCAACTGAAGAAAAATGGTACTGTTTTGTTTGAAATGTTACTAAGAGGTCATCCCTTTGGAAAATGAGGTAATCAGTGGCAAGGCCGTTTGGAGTTGTGAAAGACATACCTCTCCGGTTTGCACTTGTGGCTGGACTGTGCAGGTACCATCAGCTAATGTAATTGTGTGTGCATATTTACGAGTTAAAAGTTGCATTGTGTAACGAAAACTTTATATTTACATTAGTTAAATCATGTTTTTTTGAAACTGTGTAAATTAACTTTAGGTTACATTATCTATGATTTATTATTTCATTATTGTTAAAAGGAAGGTTAAAAATTACTTGTACAAAGGAGCTGCGTCTTTTACAAGGCAGGGTTATGTAGCCTAGCTGACTCCTTTTATAGATGAGAAAATTGAGACCCACAGCTGTGAAGCAATTTGCCAGGAGACAGCGTTATATTATCCCCCAATCTTGGTAGATCTCAGTTTCGATTTTAAAAACTGGAAAAACAGAAAACATTTAAAAACTGGAAAAGAAGACAAATGTTGGGTGTAGTAAATTATGTGTGGAGAAGGAGCTACTGGAATTCGGACAGCAGAAGCCCTTTGGGGGAGAATGGAAAATGCAAATCTGGCGTATTGTCAGGCTGAGGATTGGAGAGGCCGGGGAGCGTTTCTAAGAACCACGTAGCAGTATGTGTGACCATTCGCTTAAAGCCTCAGAGCCATTCGTCAACTTTATTTCTATTTAGGGGCCTGTGGTATTGACGCGGGGACTACGGGTGGCCAGCTTAAGAAAGGGCAACAAGAGGTCCCTTTTGACGACAGAATCCCGTTTTTTCCCATTCCCGTCATCCCGAATCCAGGCTAGTAACTCTGTCGCAGTTCTTCCAGCAGGCCCAGGCTGCCCCTAGCGACAAACACCCCAATTCCCTTGGGCTCTAGGTCCAGGCACAACCCCCCAGGATCCCTGCAGCGCAAGCGGCCACCGGCCCTGAGCTGCTGTGTACCCCGCCGAAAGAAACCAGGCACCGAAGGTGACCCGCAAGAGGGCGGAGGGATCAAAGGCTGGGGTCCCGGGAGAATGGCTGATCCAGATCAGCGCGTGATTGCTCATTGTTCGCTCGCAGCGGGGGTGGGGGAGAGCGGTGGCGTCGGCAGGCGGGGCGGGAGGGGCCTGTGAGTTTCCAGGCTGCGTCACCGCTACCTAGGCAACCGCGCTGGGAACTGTCCTACCATTGGCGGGCGCCGCGGGTTCGCCTGCACTCCCCCCACCCCGCGCCTGGCAGCCATAGTCCCGCCCCTCTTCTCCCCGCGTCCTCGCGCTCCTCTCCCTCCCGCACTTCCCTTTTTTTCCTTTTCCTCAGCCCCATTCCAAACACTAGTCGAGCCACGGTTTTCTGCTCCACAAAATGGCCACCGCGCGCGCACCTGCGGTCACGTGACCCACCACCCTCGCGGTTTCAGGGTTCTTTTTGCTCAACTCTGGCTTTAGAAAGGTTGCAGTCACATCACAAGGCTGACTAGACCAAACAAATCCCACCACATCTGCAAGCTAGGGACTGGGAACGTGGGCAGGGCGCGAAAAAGGAAGACCGAAAACAGGGTGCCTAGGAGAAAAAGGAGGAAAGAGGCCTAGTTTGCATTTTAAAGCCCGTTGCTGGAGGCCACAGGAGACGATGAGTTCTCGCGAGATCTCGATACCTCAAGACTAAGGCTAGGGTATTACTGAGACGAAGTAAAGTGAACCTTATAACAAAATAGGACATCTTTTCATTCTCGGGGCTTCCAGGTGTGACGACCAGGGGTCGAAGGAACTGACTAGGAAATCCCGCGAGATTAGGAGTCGGAGCACGCAGTAACTGGGCAGAAATCTTAGCGGCGGGGGAGTGCGGCTGTGAGGGGGAGGGCGCACGCCTTACGTGCTGACGTAGCAGCCTTGCGAGTGGGTATATTAGCTCGGTGGCCGCGCCGGGCGCTTCAGAGCCGCAGTTCTCCCGTGAGAGGCCTTTGCGGTGAGTCAGGCGCACTCGCTCAGCAGCAGAAGACTCCCGAGTTCTCGGTATTCTTCAGGGATGAGTCATGTGGCAGTGGAAAATGCGCTCGGGCTGGACCAGCAGGTGAGCCGCAAGGGCTGGATTGAGGTGGCCGCTGCGTGGCTCTCCCCTGACCTGACCTGGTGTGTGGCGTAGCGCGCCGGCACGCACTCTTTAGTTTCCATTTTCGTCTGTTTCGTGACTGAGTGTCAGGTGCCCTGCGACCTCAGAGGGACAGGGAGGTGGAGGGAGTGTTAGCTGTGGTTATCGCTCAGGCCTAACTCGGCCTGCGTTATTGTTCCCGGGCCGAGCACAATGGCGGCTTTTTTGTGTGCGTGCGCAGGTTGGGGGGAGGGGTGCGCGCTCTCGCCGGGACGCGCACGCGCGAGCCCTAACTGACCCAGGGTGGGGGTGGGGTGGGGTAAGTGAGTGCGCGGCGCTGCTGCCTGCGCTGAGGGACCCTTTCGGCCTCGAGGCTACGTTGTGTTCCGGATTACTGCCCGGGAGACCGGGCGGTGTCCGGAGTTACTGCGTTGGTGAGCACGCGAGGAGCACGGCCCTGGAATGTGGGAGGGGGTGAAGTGGGGCGGGGGTGGCCTTCGCTCTGTGTAATGGCGGCGGCCTCCTTTGTGTGGCGCTTGGTGGCTGGGCGGCGCTGTGGCCCACTACTGCGAGAGGCAGTTGGGCCAATGGGCCCAGGGTCGAAGAGGCCCTGGAAAAAGAGGATGGAGTGGATATCTTATTCTCCGGCACTTCCTTCCGCGGGCTTTTTTGCTCCAGCTCAATTTCCGCAGGGTCGTCGCAGGCCCGGCGCCGCGGCCTCCCGGGCCGCGTTTCCGGAGTGGAAAGTTTTGTGACGCAGAAAATTCAGGGGGGGGAGGGGAGGGAGCAATGGGCCTCTGCGTGCGCAGTGGCGCTGGGCCCTACTGAGGTTGAACGCGGCGGGAAGACATCGGGAGTTACGGGTCCAGCTTGGTTCTTTCCCTCGCTTAAGTCACTGGCGATTTCGCTGAGGACTGCGCGTTTTTCTTCGGGAATGATGTTGGCATTGTATGAGTGACCTTTACGTGAGGGACGTAGAGGACCCCCTAGATCTAAGGGTCCGCCACCGGAAAAAATTACCGAATGTGGCTTTGCGGGGTGGGGGGAGTAAATAGTTTTGTTGTTGACTTGTTGCTGCTTGTGGAGTAAAATTTTATGATGTCGGAGTCATCGGCCTGTAGTCCTAATCAAATCCTTTGTAAAGGTTTCGGCCGAAGAGAGAAAGTGTGATTTGAGAGGACGATGATTTCATAGCTTTTGTGAGCATCCTCTCAAACCAGTTACATGAAATGAAGTTCTCCAAATTGACATTTTGTATGTCAAATGAAGCATAGACAGTACCTGGTGTCAAGGGCACAGGCTAATGCCTACTTTAAGATTCTAAGCAGAAATGAAGCTTAAGTTTGTAACTGATTTAATTTAAAAGTGTATGTTTAGGGTCCTTAAAAGTTCAGGTGAAAATTTACGGCAAGCAGGTTGACCTGAGAAAATTTCAACGATGTAATAGAAGCTGTTAGTTTCTTGTTGCTACAACATAAAATTAAAAAAACAAAAAACCCAGCTTGCGTTCCTGTTCAGCATTCCAGTATCAGTTTAACTCCAGAAAGAATGGGAACATTTCGCTAATGGAAAACTTGAGAATGAGGCCTCTAGTCTTAGTTTATCTTCGATAATTGAGTGTACCTATTGTACAGCATCTGCTTCCCACGTTCCGTGATTCCGTTGATATTTGCAGCTTGGCAGTGTTCATTTTTAAACAGGAATTCCGATATAACATCTCACAAACACGTGGCAGCAGTGCCGCGTGACTTCTTTTGTTGCTTTTCTAGAGGAAAAAAAAAGCTTCTTGCGTGATTACTGTTTCTTAAGTAGCTCCTGGTCAGTTATGGACCTAGCAGGTAACCTTTTTCTAGAATGTGGAGGTTTTGGACTAATAGTGTGAGGGCATGGGTATAAATGAACATTCAAAGCAATAAGATGCTTTACTTTTTTAAGGGCATTTTAGGTCATTTAAAACTGGTCGTCTTTCAATTTATAGTTAAAATGGGAGAATGAATAGATAACTACAGTTAAAGCCTAACATAGTGCTCACTTAAGTATGTTGCCGAGGTTTTGTTCTGTGATGTTGATGACATTTAAAAGTATATGTCAAATATGATTGGCACCAAGATGAATCTTTTCTCTCTTGAACCTTCAGAAATTGAAATTCAGCCTGGCCTAGTGGTGTCAGAGGCATATGCTTTTAAATCACAATTGAGGCAAGAGGATTGGGAATTCAGGGCTAACTTGAATTACAGAGTGAGTTTTTGTCTCATGAGATCCAGCATAACTATTTATTAGTTTGGCAAGTGATTCAAGAGCTTTTGCTTTGGAGAATGTTACAGGAAAAATTCTTTTTGGGGCAGGTGGGAACCAGGAATGCAACTCACTGTCAGGCAGGCGCCATGCTACTGTGCTGTAAAAAAACATTTTTGAATGAATGGAAGAAATTTAGACCTAGTTTTTTTCTATTGGGTGGTACCAGCCATCTTCCTGTGCTGCCACCTGCAGTATATACAGTGATACTATTTTGCATTTGCTGTAGTTCTACAGTCTTCAAAGCATTCTTACATTATGAATTTTATCAGTCTTCTGAGGTATCACAGGACAACTGGTATATTTCAGTGTGACTGAAGTGCTATGACATGTTGGAGGGCAAGGCTAATTTTTGTATTACTGTGTAATTTAGTGCTAGGGCTGCTAACCAACCATCTCTCTATTCCCTAGTTTGCTGGCCTAGACCTGAACTCTGCAGATAATCAGACTGGAGGAAGTACAGCCAGTAGTAAGTAAAAACATGAATTTATTGAAGATTTAAATTTAATGTTTACCTGGCTATATCTAAATTTTTTTTTAATTTGCTAACATTACTGGAAGAATCATTAGACAGTTATATAGAATTATGTAGTATGTAACGGTCTAAGCATTGTGATCTTTTTGGTACTGAAAAGGACTAATTGGTTCTTTTGAGTAAAAAGTTAATGATTGAAAACTCATGTAATATACATATTATCTTTGGAAGACTGCATGCATTTTGAATCCTGAGCCAGTTTACAGGTGATGACTTGACCAAAAATAAATTCAATTACGGGAACATGTACTTACTTGGTCAGCTACAGTTATTTTTAACAAGAAGAGTGTACCAGGTTTTTGGGGTGGTAGCTAGAATTTTAAATGCAGTATCACTAATACAGGAGGACTGTTATGAAGGGCTTTCCACCAAACCTCTCTGATTTCTGTTTCATTTATTCAGAACAGGAGGGCTGTTATATATTTTTATGGTTCAATTTAGTGTGTAGCCCAGGCTGGCCTCAAATTCAGTAGTGGTCCTTTGGCTTCAGCCTGGGATCGTGGGTATGTACCACCATGCCTGGCAATATCTTTCAAGAAGTTACAGTGGGGCATGGTTGCACACACCTATAATCCCAGCATTGGGAGGCTGAGGAAGGAGGCTTGTTGGGAGTTTGAGACCAGCCTGGGCTACAAAGTGAGCTCAAGGCCAGCCTGAGGTACATAGCGAGAACACGACACTGTCTCAAAAAGACCAAAAAAGTTAGATACACAAACTTTTTAAAATTAAAAATAATTTTTCATTGTAGTGCTGAGAATGGAACCTAGAGACTTGATTGTACTAGATAAGTGTCTTCCCACTAAGGTGCATGTCCATCTTAAGTTACTTCTTTGTTTTTGAGACCAAGTCTTTCTGTGTAGTACAGGCTGGCCTCGAACTCTTGCCTCAGCTTCCTGAGTGCTAGGGTTACAGGCATGCTCCATCACACAGAACTAGCAAGTAATCTTTGATACATAAAATTTGTAGCCAGGGAGACTGGGTGTGGTGGCACATGCCTATAATCCCACCTCTTGGGAGGCTGTAAACAGGCAGATCACTAATGAGTCTGATCTAGTAGTGAGGCCCTGAACACCCTGTAGACCCCTAAAACACACACACAAAAAAAAAGTTTGTAGCCAGGTGTGACTCATGCTTTTAATCCTAGCACTCTTCAGAAGTAGGAGGATCACTGGGTTTGAGGCCAGCTTGAACTACATATTGAGATCCTGTTTTCAAAAAAAAAAAGTTTGTGTGTTGCCATGTTTTGCTACATATATGTATATATGTTATAATTAGGTAAGTTTTAAAGTTAAAAAAAAATGTAAGGGGTTGCTTGGTGGACATTTTCAAAATAATCCATAAAATGATTTTATGTAACATTTAGTAGTCTGTGGAGGGGCTGGGGAGATAGCTCAGTACGCAAGAGCCTGAGTTCAGTCCCCGGTTCCACCAAAAAAAAAAAAAAAAAGATGTAAAGCAAGTTATGGGAGTAGGGTTGTAGCTTACTGGTAGTTTTTGCCTTGCATTTTTTTTAATGTATTGGTTCTTACAGAGTCCCAGTACGCAGCTTGGACTCACAGTGATCCTGTCTTCAGCCTCCCCAGCGCTGGGATTACAGGCGTGCACCACTATTCATGTACTCTGGCTAGCTCAGCCTGCCCTGGGGAATGAGGCTGGCACTGCACTGGGATGGAACCTCTCTATCCCTGAGCTTCCCTAAGCTTGCCTAAGCAGGAGCCTTAGTCCACTGAGCTATATTGCCAGCCTCTGCCTTGTGTTCTTGAGGTTCTGAGTTTCGTCCCTGGTTACTGCAAAACAAAGTTGACTTCACTGGAGTGTATGTTATTTACTTTAGCTGTTAATCCATAATGTAGGCCAGTGACTGCA